TAATCACTCTCCGACAGAGCTAGGGTTACTTTTGTACTTGGGAGTGGAGAAATGTCGGGCGCGACAAAGGATGTGGAGAGTGTGTGGAAGGCTTCATCAAGCATCTGGTCAAGAACTCTCCCTGGCCGTCTGCATTTGTTACCTGGAATGACTTTTCCACCGGGCTGAGTGTGTCAAGTGTGGTGGTGCTGATGGTGAGCGTGGAGGTGAGCGAGTGCACGGCATCTGGAGACGTGTTTATTGTGTGAGGAAGATGACTTCTCTGTTCCTTCGTTGGTCTACTCCTTCACACCGAAAGTCATGGGCAGGTGGCGTTTACTTCTACGTTGAGGCTTCAAGGACAATTGACAGCATCATTTCTCGTTTGTGCCTTCTGTCCTTCTATGGAACGTCTATTCTCCTTTCTCTTCTCCTTTCTCTTCTCCTTTCTCTTCTCCTTTTTCTCTTTGTATGTTACTCTCCAGTAGCGCCTCCAATCTTTGGCACTTATACAACCTATTTGTGTTGCAAGTGCTGTAAAACTCTTAGTGTAATTAACCTGACAGGCGTTGTTTCTGTCGACTGTTGTGACAACTAACAGGCGTTGTTTCTGTCGACTGTTGTGACAACTAACAGGCCTTGTTTCTGTCGACTGTTGTGACAACTAACGGGCGTTGTTTCTGTCGACTGTTGTGACAACTAACAGGCGTTGTTTCTGTCGACTGTTGTGACAACTAATGGGCGTTGTTTCTGTCAACTGTTGTGACAACATGCAGCGCCGTGGCTGTGTCGTCCTGAGCGAGCCGCAGTCTGTGGCAGGCTACACCACCAAATGTTTTGTTTGGATATCGTGGGAAGTCTGCGTCGTTATGAATCGTTTGGCAACATTCCGAGGATTGTAGTAGTGAAGGTGTTGTTGTATGTCTTGGGCTGCCGTCTAATGAGTAAAACTACGTTTTGAGAAAAAAGAAGTGAGATGTTTTTCTGTCCTGTGAAATGAACAAAAAATTCTATTCTGTGAAATGGAAAGTGGTGTTTTTTTCTGTACAGTGAAATAGAAATTCTGTCCTTTGTAAAAAAAAAAAAAAATTTTTTTTGCTTACCCTCACTTTCAGAGTTTTGCCAGTTTGAGGTGATGTTGGAGTAGTGGTGTCTATGAGCTGTGAGCTGGCTGAGCTATGATGAGCTGTGAGCTGTCGATTTGACCAGTCTTCTGATCCCAATGTACACAAGAGGCGTTTGAACATTAGTTTACTGTTGTTGTTGTTTTTTTTGGTTTTTTTTTTGGGGGGGGTTGTTACACTTGTCTTTGTGATTGAACATGGACGGGGTTGGCAGATATTTGTAGCTGGTGCAAAAATTTTGAGAGTCTAGTCTTGAACACAGAGCACATATCTTTATTGATGGGATTTTTATTTGATATAAATACTTTTGTATCCGGCTTTTGCGTACCACGACTACTGCATCAGTATCAAAGTAGTGTGAGCAGCATGGGCCTATTCTCATGGCAGCTGGTTTGACCCACAAATGTCTCTTGTGTGGATGAGTGGTTGGAGGCTGGACTTGTGATGTTGCTTGGGGAGGTGAAGGGGGGGGAGGGGGTGTTTGTGTCAACCCCCTGCTGTGGGGATAGGGTGTTTGTGTCAACCCCCTGCTGTGGGGATAGGGTGTTTGTGTCAACCCCCTGCTGTTGGGATAGGGTGTTTGTGTCAACCCCCTGCTGTGGGGATAGGGTGTTTGTGTCAACCCCCTGCTGTGGGGATAGGGTGTTTGTGTCAACCCCCTGCTGTGGGGATAGGGTGTTTGTGTCAACCCCCTGCTGTGGGGATAGGTCCGTGGTGGAGTAATTAGCATGAAATAATCAATCTGAATGTATTATCTACCATTACGGTGTACCATATTCTGCTGGGGATAGGTTCTGTCTGTATTGTGAAGGAGAAGGGCTTCTACGTTCCACACAACTACGTAGCGTACATCTGTACCTCTCACGTTAGCTTGGAGGAAATCCACTGCTTGACTGTCACCTCTTCCTGTCGTGTGGCGCTACCACTGTTTGTACAATTGTGTGCTACGGATTGTTTGTGCGATTGTGTGCTACGGATTGTTTGTACGATTGTGTGCTACGGATTGTTTGTACGATTGTGTGCTACGGATTGTTTGTACGATTGTATGTCACAGAGTGTTTGTACGATTTCTCGCCTCGGAATTGTATGTGCACAAGTCCATGCCTTGACTTGGAGAGTAGATTAGAGTATCTGGGATTGTTTGCACAACTGTCTGCGGCTGATTGTTTGCACAATTGCCGGTACCCTTAGTTTTTTTTCAGGGTCGTCGTTGTCTCTGGCACAGCTGTCTGTTGTCCTCTCAAATCCTGTGGTGTGAGAATGTGAGCGTTGTGGCTTGGGTGGACTGTGCCAGTTGTAGTAGAACTGGGTTGGCTCGGGGATGGAGGGAGATGTGGGGTTTTTTTTGGTGTTATTTCTTATGAGGACCGGTGGCCCAATTTGCCTGATGTATGTGTCGGTGATGGGTGATGATGTGACAGCGTCTGGTCACCTCCTGCGTGTCGGTTCTGCCTGTCTATCTCATGTCTGTGACGCCTGTCTATCATATGTCTGTGACGCCTGTCTATCTCATGTCTGTGACGCCTGTCTATCTCATGTCTGTGACGCCTGTCTATCTCATGTCTGTGACGCCTGTCTATCTCATACATGTCTGTGACTGACTCACGTCTGCTGGACGACCGTCTGTAGCGCCTGTCGTGTACACCTGGGTGGCAGATTGGTGCGTCTGTGTCTCTCTGGCCTGTTGTGAGGCTCCCTTGTGTGCTGGATATGTCGGCTTAGTCGTCATGAGGACCTCGTACCGACTGGGCAACAGGGAGAGGCTGAATTAATGTAGTAGGATTGTCACTGTGGCTAGAAAAATGGGTAATTCCATCATTTGTTTTATCTCTGTGTAAACCAGTCAAGTGGATTAACATCTTTTTCTTGCAGCGATGACGGTGTGAATGTGACATGTTACGCACAAGAGTTCTTGAACCGTGGCCTGTCAGCCTGTGGGCCGGACAGACTTGTGTGTTGTAGGAGAGAGTGGGGTGATCTTCTCCTAAAATATGACGTGGGCGTAATGATGTGAACGAGAGCTGTCACTGTGTGAACGTGGCCTTAGATTCTCTGTGTAGACTTCTCTGCCGCAGCCTTTCTGAGTTTTACTACGTGTGTACCCGCCCTTCTGAGTTTTACTACGTGTGTACCCGCCCTTCTGAGTTCTACTACGTGTGTGCCCGCCCTTCTGAGTTCTACTACGTGTGTGTCCACCCTTCTGAGTTCTACTACGTGTGTGTCCACCCTTCTGAGTTCTACTACGTGTGTGTCCACCCTTCTGAGTTCTACTACGTGTGTGTCCGCCTTTCTGAGTTCTACTACGTGTGTGTCCGCCTTTCTGAGTTCTACTACGTGTGTGTTTGTTGTTTTTTCCTATGTGCAAAAGTTGGCATTGGTGTTTCCTGATGGCACAAAATGTGTTTGTGAATGGACTGTCTCTACTAGGTAGAGAGGTATGAGGTGTGTGTGTGTGTGTGGAGAAGATGTTGTGTGTACGTGGTATTTATTGACTAGCACATATGACCTGTACTCTGATAGGTTAAATTTTTTTCAAGATTTGTACATGCCTAGAATTGTTTTCCGATGTATGTGTGTTTTTGAGATACGCTTTATTATGTTGGCTTAGTATCTTTGCTGAGGTACGTCATTCTGAAAGAACCATAATGTTTTGTACAAATGTCATTATCATCATGTGTTTGCTGGAAATTTTGTTGAGAATGTATGAGAAGGGCCGAGATGGTGTAGGGAGGTGTGGTGTGTTGTCTTTTCTTTGGGGGGGGAGTTGACTATGTAGGCGGGCTGGCTATGTCCATTGGAAAAGAACTTTCTCAAGCTTTCTCTGGGCCCTGTGAAGAGGAAGTGATGTTTTGGATGTCTGGTCTGGCTGTTGAGAATGTGTTACGGCCTCGGTCAACACTTTCTTGCTGTTTGGTATTTTCCACCAGCCTTTAACGGTTTGTTTTGGGGTTTTTTTTTTGTGTGTGTGTGGGTTTTTTTTCCTTTCTAATGGTGAACACGTGTACATGGTGTGTGTGTAACTCTACATGGTGTATGTGTAACTCTACATGGTGTGTGTGTAACTCTGTGATATATTATGCTGGAACCATCTGAAATGTTGTAGCAGCTGTCTCAGCCACTGTTGGGTCCCGTGTGTCGTTCTCCCGG